AAAAAAAAAAAAAAAAGAGAGATGAAAAAGAAAAAAGAAAAAGAAAATGGTATCATAGCTTCACTCTAGAGATAATATAAAATGAAGAAAATGATTGAGTTCTTGTGAAGAGCACATGATGTACTCACTCTAAAGTAGTTCCTCACACTTAAAAAAAAAAAAAAAAAGAGAGATGCAAATCAAAACCACAATGAGACACCATTTCACTCTAATTAGAATGGCTAAGATAAAAAATACATATAAACAACAAACATTGATGAGGATATGGGGAAACTGGAACCCTTACCCCCATTGACAGGAATACAAAATGGTACAGCCATTGCTGGACACAGTGTGGCAGTTCTTCAAATATCTAATAATAGAACTACAATATGACCCAGCAATTCTACTCCAAGGTATATACCCAAAACACTTGAAAGCAAAGATTCAAACAGAGACCTGTACACCAGTGTTCACTGCAATACTATTCATAATAGCCAAAAGGTAAAAACACCTAAATGCCCACCAACAAATGAATGGATACACACCATGGCCTATTACTCAACCAGTAGGAGAAATGAAGTCTTGATATATGCTATAATATGGATGGAGCTGGAGGACTTGAGTGAAGTAAGTCTGTCATAAAAGGACAAATACTGTATGACTTCACTTACATAAAAAGAATGAAAAGGCAAATATATAGAGAACAAAGATTACTACTGGTTACCAGGGGTGGGAGAGAGGGAGAAAGAGAGGGGATGGGGGTTTAAAGGTAAAAATATTGCTTTGATCAAGGGTAGGGTTGTACGGCCGATTATAGTAATTCCTGTCAATAAGCTGTACACATGTAAAAAGTTGAAATGGGAAAAGTTGTGCATTAGATATATTTACAACAACAACAACAACAACGAGACAGAGAGGCTGCTTATGTATAACCAAACACCTCATGGGATTTGTTTTCTTGGTTTAGAGGTTTAGGGTCATGGTTTCATGGGACATTAACTGCCTGGATAACATGTTTAGTGACTCTGTTCTACCTGCTAGTTCCCTGCACAGTGCCTAGGGTCTTAGGAGCTTGTAAGTGGCCATCAGAGACACAAAAATTGGCCTCTCTATTCACCTGGAACAGCAGAGGAAGAAGGAAAGTCAGCAAGAGAAGGAGAATATGGAATGTGTAACTAACTGCCTCCAATAACAACTGCCTCCTTTGCCATGAGCCCAGAAGAACTAGGTGATGCCTGGGTTCCATTACAGGATACTTTAATCAAAGATTCCATAGAAGAGTTCTGAAGAAAAGGGAGAAATGTAGAGTAGAATTTCAAATTCTCATGTACTCCAGACATCCTTCTTTCCATGAAGGTTGGATGAACCCCAAAAACCACTGCCTGGAGATAATATTTAAACTTTAAACCAAAATTATCCCCTGAAGTTTTCTTAAATTCAAACAATAATTTAGCTTATTTTAGTAAAAAATATCTGCCTCGAGTATTATGTTCTTTTAAGAATTATCTATGTGGGATCAAACTGACAAAAGCAACTTGAAATATTAGATAAAAATCTTAGGTGTAGCCAGTTTATGTTAATGGAAGAACAACTCAGAAAAAGAGAGTGAGAATGGCTGCCCAGCTGTAAGAATGTAATCAATGTCATTAAATAACACACAAGCCATCACTGCCATTGAGTCAATTCTGACTCACAGCGACCCCCACTGGGTTTCTGAGGTGGTAAATCTTTATGGAACTAGACTGCCCAGTCTTCCTTCCATGGAATACACATGTAGAAACTGCTAAATTGGTGTTATGTTTTATTGTATATATTCTCAACAAAAAATAAAAAGGAACTGAAATGTCATATAAATGCCAAATGTTTTTTCTTTCCATACACTTTTTCTGACCTTCTCACTTTATCAGCCTGGTCTTTCACATCTAGATTCTCTCAATATGGCTAATTCTTACAGATATTCTTTCTTTTTTTCTACTTTGCTATTTAACTCGCGTAGACTAGGTTTTAGAAAAAAACCAAATCCACTACTATCAAGTCAATGATGAGTCATAGCTACCTTATAGGACAGAGCAGAACTGCCACATAGGGTTTCCAAGGCTATAATCTTTATGGAAGCAGACTGCCACACCTTTCTCCTGAAAGAGGCAGGTGGCTTCAAGCCACTAATCTTTCAGTTGGTAGTCTTGTGCTTAACCACTATACCACCAAGACTCCTTTTGTATACGTTAGACAATCAGAATTTCAAGCCCACTGGACCACATCTAGAAGAAAACAAACTGATTCTGAGGGAGATTCTAGAGTTAACTCAGGAGAAAAGTAAGTTTTATTGTTTAGACATTTGTGACTTTGACTGTTCAAAAGACACTTTGATATTTTAGTTCTTCAATACATTCTGAAGAGCTGAAATTGCCAGAAAACCACCAGCACAATGAGGAAACATTGTTAATGATCATCCCAAAATAATTTTCAAGCAAATATACAAAAGGATTGGCAAAATATGAGGACGTCTGCCATGAAAGAGTCTACTATTTAGTCATGTAAAACAGAACACACATATATAACAGCGTTAAGACAATCTGAGCAGTATTTAAACAATGAAGGATAATAGAAGACATAATAACATGGGTATAGAGCTGTATATACATATTAATTACAAATGAGTAGAACAGACAGTAAATGATACAAGAAAACAAAAAGAGAGATTGTATGTTCAAATAAGGAATGGGGAAAATGATTCTGAAAAATATTTTACAAGATTTTGAATGAAGTTGACACTTCTGATCATAGAAACAAAAGCCTGTTGAAGTAAAGTTCCCAGTATTTGTCTTATATTACCATGTAGATGTAGTGTCTGTTAAATATTTCACAGCGAGGTTGACAAAAATGACCCTTAACGTAGAGTTAAGACAAAGGAAACTAGAAGCCACTTGTCAATTTGTTTAAAAAGAAAATAATCATATAGTCTTCTCACCTTGAATATACCAACCCAATCTTTCGGATGTGGACGGATATACGGAGTTAAGGTAAAATGACATTCTAGGTGTGCATTAGGAAGATAACTCTTGGCCACATTCTGAAAGATGACATGTGCAAAGTTGGACGTCTGCAACGGGACTTCTTGAAAGGATGTCATTGTGTATCTGAAACAAGCAATTAATACAAGTTGAATGATACCATCTAAGAAAAACATACACCTTCAAAAAATACATTAGTTAACGCAAGTTTTACGCATATCTGCATGCCGCATTAAGTAGGGCTTCAAACTGGAACAGAAACAATAAAACTCAAAATTTTCCCCAGAAGGAAACCAAAACCCAAATCAAAAACTTTTATGCTTTTCGATCTGCTATTTTCAGGTCAATGATTATTTTTTAAGTTGTAACCAACACAACTGGACCATTTTATGTTTGATTTGTATCTGGTGCCCATGTATGTCAAATGCATCTCTGGCATGTGTTCATAGCTTCAGCAAGCAGTTTCACACAGCTGCAGCGATAAGTAATGACTTGTTACACAACACAATTCACCGCCCAGTTAGAGTTCACTATTTCCACTCTATGCTTGACCTCCGTCATAGTAATGCAACTGTGCCTACTGAAGATGTAAGAAATCCTCAGTAATTGAGAATGCTCACAGTCAGAAATCTGAAAGAGCTTGTTAGACTGCATCAACTTCTGCCCAGAGTTTCACCTGAACAGAAACTTGTCAGGTGAATGTAAACATTTTAAACGTTCATTACTCACATTTTTTAAATGTGATTTGTAAATGCAAGAAATAGAAAATAGCACACATTTTTGATGATTCCGCTCCTGTGTTCAGTCTCAAGTAAATGCACTATCACATACTGTTTGTACTTAAATGTTTAAATTTTATATTAATCACACATTATCAAAATGTTAACAAACATTAGCAACTAACAGGAAGAAAATCAATGTTTCAATTGTGATACATTGTTATTTCACTGAAAACAACTTGATAGTATCACTACAAAGTGAGAAAATGTGAGAATGGAAGAAATTTGCAAAGCCCAAGAATGTAAAAACTGTTATTCTGGTTTTTCTAATATACTGACAATACATGGCTAGAAGCATTTTAATATGTACTGGCTCTAATTCATCTCTACAAATGTATTTATACATTCTACTCTGTTTATGTTATCAAAGACTTGTTTTTACTATACTGCAATATACCAACCAACTCCACTGCATTGAGTTGATTTCAATCCACAGAGACCCTTTCAGACAGAGTTGAACTGCCACAAGGTTTCCAAGGCTGGAAATCTTTACAGAAGTAGATTGCCACATCTTTCTCTCACAGAGCGACTAGTGGGTTCGAACCATCGACCTTTTGGTTAGCAGCCAAGTGCTTTAATCACTGTGGCACCAGGGCTCATAATTTAATATAAACTCACTGCCGTTAAACTGACTTGACTCATAACGACCCTTCCTTGGGTTTAATATGCCCTAATGTTAATATTACACTCACTGTTCACTTACTGCAACACGGTAAAGAGTCCAAAGACCAGGTCATTAGGTGAAAATCGATTATGTGAAAATGAAGAATGACCATAATATTATACAACTACCAAATTACATTATTACAGAACTGTCATACCATTGAGAATCCAAATTGACACATAACCTTAACCATCACAGCCAGCCTCACTCTAACCTCTTACCTTGGCATTCATTACTGCAAGACATCCATTGTTAATGCACCAAATAGTTGGATACTCATTTGTTCTATTGTGTTCATGTGAAATGTCATATAATAAGACAGGTGCTAAGTGAGGAGTAGGTGTAGCTCATATCCTTTGATGCATAATATGGAATGAATCAGAAAAAATCTATGTCAAGAATTTTTCTAGTATACAAAGACTGAAAATAAAAGCATGCATAAAATTTGCCAACACAGATATGGTTGGAGACCATACAGCCAATTTAGAGAGGCACCTGAAGTACCACCATATGGATAAATACAAATGCAGTAAAGCAAGAAGACAAGAAGATTGAAGAAAGTGCCTGAGGGTTCTGAATAAGCAAAAAAACAGGAGACAAATTTGCCATTCCTGAATGCCTTAAGGTGAAGTGAGATAAACAATTGTCAAAGCATGTGTTGAATCAGTTACTGTTAACTGTTGTTCATATGAGTTAATCGAATAGTCAAGATTCTGTAAGTCTTTAAATTTAATTATTGCTTCATTTGGTCAGTATTTTCATCAACTCAGAGATTAGGGAAACGATACCGCACTTGTCTTTAAAACGCAGCTCCAAAATTAGTAGTAATCTAGAAAAACAAATACTCTCTTTGAAAGTGGATGGTGCTGGTAGATAGAGACTAAAATTGTTTGCCCAAGGTGCTGAAATATATTTGTTGACACTGGAAATGAGAGAATTAAAAGACAACAGGTCTGTATGTTAAATTACTATGTATCAAATTTTAGACAAGTTTAATAGATTTACAGTCTATTTATTCTGTAACCACAGATAATGGCCCTAACATAATTAAACTTATAGATATGCTTAGAAATGACAGTAAAATCAAATAACAACTGTCTGGGCAATATGACAATTTTGGAGACTCTGAAGGTGCACTCTGACTTGCAGACATAGCAGAGTGTGCTATGTGTGAAAGCAACAAGTTTATAAGAAAAGATTGACTGGTATAAAGCATGCTGCACACACTTCAATTAGTTATTAAAGATGCAGCAAAAGATGCTAAACAGAATTTTTAGGAGAATGTCATCAGTTTGTTTGAATACTTCACATTCCAACATCGTCTACCAAATTCTCAGAAACAAATTTAAGGAAACATGTACTGGACTGCCCAACATAGAGTCTACACACTATGTTAGAAACTTTACAAGGATGCAAAACTCTTGGCAACATAGCTGAGAATAATATGAAATATTACTTTTCTAATGATAAATTTCCTGGGAAACCCAAGGAGGGGTAGCTATGTGTCGCGTCCAACTCAACGGCACTTAACAACAACAACAACGATAAATGAGCATATGTCAAATTAATTTTGGAAACTTTAAAATTTTAAAGAAAGTTACTGTAAGATGCAAAGTGAATCATTAACTGTGAGTGATGTATTTTGTATGTGGGTGAAAACTAAGCTAAAATTAAAACCTCTTAATAATATATTTCGAAAGACATTGAAAATTTTAATGTCAGGGAAAAGTTATCATTGAAAATGACAGCACAGTAGGAGTTTATCTAGATCCTCATTATCAAATTCTAATTAGTTCTGAACTTAAGGTGAAGGCCATATGACACTTAAAAAGCATTTGGGAAACGACAGAAAATCTGGAAAGGAGCAATACTGAAAGTACAGCAAAGCAATTCCAGATATACTCTCATTTCAAATGATGCTGCTGCAATGAAACCATTTTTCAGAATGAAAAGTTAAACTGAGGTCAAATGACTGTACTATTAATACTGATTCCATTAGAAGCTTTGATGGTGTACAAAGAGTTGAGAAAAAAAAGCATTCTTGAATTTTGGAAGAAAACTATTCACAATATCCCCAGTTAAAAGAAACTGCTATGGTAGTTTTGCATGCACTAGCTACTCTGGTCAATATAGAGAGACCTTTCTCAGTTTAAAATTCATCTTGCAGACAATAGGGATTCCTTAAGTGTACAAATGTTAGAGGACATTCTTGTAATTTGGTGTAATTATGGTTTATTGCAACGATGTCTTCTTTATGAATTATATAACTGAGTATGAATTAAATCTGTATTTGTAAAAATAATTTATAACAATAATTTCATAAATAAAATTTGTTTTATGTAATGTTATGGCAATTCCTCAGTAGTATTAAACATTTTACTGTACAATGCCTTTATGTTTTGATGTATTAGCTTTGACAGCACACTGTATTTCTTGTATTTTGTGCATAAATTATTAACAATTTTACATAACTATTGTGTTAACAGTGAAATGTCACTGACATCAAAATTAAGTTTGTTTTCAGTGTATTTTATAGTATTGAGAATTTCCTACTAAAAATGCATTTTGAATCTTCAATTTAATATTCAAAGAGTATACCAGCAGTGTTTTATCACAATACTATTTTTAAAGTGATTCAGTGCTGCACTGAATTCTGGTTTATTTTATAAAACAGATTTTTTTTTTAAATGTATTTTATATTATATTTTTCTTTGTACAGAAATGTTGAGAGTAATTAAAATTGAACATCATTGATGCCTTCGATTTAGTTACTAATGAATGTGTAGAAAGAAATAGTTTAATATTGCTACTTTCAATACTAATTATAAAATCGCAGAATGAATAAAATTTGCGTTAATATAAAAAAGCAATATTATTTGCAATATAAGGTACAAATCTGATAGCTATTTTTTCAGATGAAATTGCTCTAGGTTATCCATTTGCAGAATATAAAACAGATCAGACAGTAAAACAGGTTCCAACTGGTTCAGTCATAGTCCACAAAGCGAAAACCAGAACAGAGAGAAATTTTTAAAATTTTGGTGAACCAGAACAGACAAAAATTACAGTCCAGAGCCCTGGCCTTAAGTATTAAGATGATATATACTTTTTTTTATTATTAGAACACCTCCTTAAAAATGGGATTAAACATAAAAACACAGACATACTGGGTAATAACTAAAGTCAATATAGCTCAGAAAGTTACACGGGGAGTGCTGGTGTTGGCAGCTGCCATCATGTCAATTCCAACTCACAGTGATTTCACATGTGCAGAGTAGAACCGCTCTGGAGGGTTTTCAAGGCTGTGACCGTTCAGAAGCAGACTGCCAGGCCTGTCTTTTGAGGCGCCTCTCTAAACCAAAAGATCAAACAAACCCACTACCATCCAGTCACTTCTGACTCACAGCAACCTCCACTGGTCTTCCAAGGGGGTAAATCTTTACAGAGGGGTCGCTAGGAGTCGGGGCCAACTCGACGGCACATGACAACAACAACAACAAATCTTTACAGAAGTAGATTGCTCATCTTCCTTCCATGGAGCGGCTGGTATATTTGAACCACAAACCTTCTGGTTAGCAGTCAAATGCCTTAGGCTGAGGCACTTCTTTTGAGGGGAGGGGGTTAAACCTCCAACTTTCAGCCGGTAGCTGAGTGCTTAATCATTTGCACCACCATTAAAGTTA